CTCCCCAAACCATCGCTGGCTGTGGGAACTTCACACTGGACTTCAAGCAACTTGGATTTTGCTCCTCTCCAGCCTTTCTCCAGACTCTGGCACCTTGACTTCCAAATGAAATACAAAACTTGCTTTCGTCTGAAAAGAGGACTTTGGACCACTGTGCAACTGTCCAGTGCTTCTTTTCCTTAGCCCAAGTCAGACGCCTCTTCCGTTGTCTTGAGTTCAGAAGTGGCTTGACCATGGGAATACGGCTATTGTAGCCCATTTCCCAGACACGTCTGTGAACAGTGACTTTTGATACCTGGACTCCAGCTTCAGTCCACTGTCTTTGAAGCTCCCCCAAATTCTGGAAGCGACTCTTCTTCACAATGCTGTTAAGGCTGCGGTCATCTCTCTTGGTTGTGCAGCGTTTCCTGCCACATTTCCCCCTTCCAACAGACTTTTTGTGGATGTGCTTTGAAACTGCACTCTGTGAACAGCTTGCTCTTTGAGAAATTTCTTTTTGTGTCTTACCCTCCTGATGGAGGGTGTCAATGACGGTCCTCTGGACAGCAGTCAGATCAGCAGTCTTCCCCATACTTGTGATTTATTTTACTGAACCAAGCTGAGTGTTTTTCAAGGCTCAGGAAACCCTTGCAGGTGTTTCGAGTTAATTAGACGATTCAAGTGATTCGTTGAACACCCTACTAGTATACTTTTTCATGATATTCTAATATTTAGAGATAGGATATTTGAGTTTTCTTAAGCTGTATGCCATAATCAGCAATATTAAAATAATAAAAGGCTTGCAATATTTCAGTTGATTTGTAATGAATCCAGAATGTATGACATTTTTGTTTTTTTAATTGCATTACAGAAAATAAAGAACTTTATCACAATATTCTAATTTTCTGAGACAGTCCTGTATATTGTATACCAGGTTCCAGCAGCAAGTACTTTGAATGTGAATCTGAATTTGATCTTGATCAGAACATGCATTGATAAAGTCAAGCCCTCTTGTCATCCCATCTGTTAATCTTCTCCCTTCTGCTATTACATCTTCTCATTCTCTAAATGATTTCAGGAAAGAAACAAAACAGTAACTCCTACGCGCGCCTGCTGCCCACACATGTAAAGCTCTGTTCTGCATCTTAATGATTACATCTCAGCCTTTGCGTCAGGCCTTCTTTTTCGCTAGAAGTGAAAACTATCTGGTATGAATGAGATCCACTGACAGGGCGAAATCAGCCACGAGGGAGTTTTCAATATCCCACTCAAAAGGTCCTCCTCCGGGGGCAAGGTGCCACATCTCGCTTTCATAAAGAGGTATTGATAGCGAACAATTCAGCAGGCTATTGTCTTTTTTTCCTATTGCAGATAAGGAGGAGGCGTATGATCCGACGGGCTACATGGAGGCGTGCGAAGCGTTACAGGTGGTGCCTGCCTATAACTTCCTGAGGAACATGCACAATAGCGAGCTATCCATGATGCATCGCTGTCTGGGGCCTCAGGTACTTTAACCATAAATTAGGGATTGCATCTCTAAGTTACAAACATTTTATAATTGCTATATTTATATCAGCAATATATCACATGGCATTGTGAAGACAATGTGAAAGGGGTTTTCTCCTGATGGTGAACCTACAGAGAATTATCACCTGAATCTGAAGCACCTCTCGTCTCGCAACTTTCAGCTTATTTTGTTATGTCTGGCAACTTTACTGCTTTAGTTCACTCAAGTAAATGTCATCACTTACAGTAATGTGACAAAGCTAAAGAAGACTCACTGTCCACTAGCTGCTCAGCCCCAAACAGCACAAAGTTAGCATTTACCCGAGGCAGAGACCAAAGACCGAGCTAAAGGAGAAAGAAACCCAACTACAAATAAATGATAATCTTGCTTTGAAACTGCTGGATGTTTGCTAACAAGTCCCCCATATCAGTGATTATCATATGTAAATAATGTTCCTACACTTTATTTCTGCCAACTCCATGGCTTTCAGTTACACCCGGGGTAAGGTATTTGAATCGTACTTGCTTTTTCCTTCCTTACTCTATAATGCTATTTCAGAACATTTAATGATTCATTAATTCAAAGTCACATTCCCCTCCAGGGGACTGCACTGATCATGACAAAGCCTGGGGAGCACCGTGTTAACTGCACGCAGCTGAGCTTCAAGTAGCGTTCAGTGTTTCTCCCCAGGAAATAGATCATGCACGTACATATCTTTGCCATACACAACACTTGACATAAAAAATGGCACATGTCTAGTTCACTGTATTGATCACACTGGTTCACGTATAAGTTTAGAGCCCTTCCCTATCCAACAAGAGAGAAGGCAGATGGCAGGGATTTACTCAGGGAGCTCATTATGCAGATGTTAATGTTAATTGACATCTGGGGAAAGGTTCTAATTTTTAATCTAAATGACAGAAAGTATAGCTTTATTATTTGGTCTTGTTACAGCATAATATCAATATTGCATATAAATGTTTGAGCTTCTTTATTATCCAAAATACACACACATTAGATGCAGATCCACAAAAACATAATCAAAGATGGTCTTGGCAGGTTTAGACCAAACAGGAAATCCATTCCATGACATGTTGTATAAACCAAATGGATCGTTTTAAGTACATGCAAAACAATGCTTTATTTACTTTCTGCGATAAAATACAGAGAAACATAAACAAAACAAGCTTTTGAGACGTTTTTATATTCTCGAACTCTCCAATAGCCTAATTTTAGACCAAAATCTCTGAAATTCACTTGTATTTTTAGCAGTAAATCAAAGTTAAATTGCTCTGTGGTTGCATAACTCCGACTGAGGGGAGAGTACATGCTTTACACGTGTAAAAAAAAAGGCATTGCCTGGAGCTCTTAGAAACACAGTTTGACATTTTACATGCTTCTACTGGTCCATCACGCAGTAAATCAAAGTTGTGAAAGTAAATCCATTCCTCAACAAGCCGTTTCTGCTTCAGCGACATCATTCAGACAGATTCAATTGGATTTCAAATAAGTCTGACCTGTCCATTGCAGAGAGTAGTAAAGTAACAAAGTGCAACTGCCAAAGGTTATTTGTTCAAATGTCTTGCAGACTGATATGCTTCTGGTGGGGGAAACTTCTGTGTAGCAATACAGGCGGAGTCACCTACTCAAAGGAGACACGGGGAGAGCTGGAGCTTTGATGTCAAACACTGATGGGTTTATTTGGAGCTTCGGCCGGAGAATTCACCGAACAAGTCAAAGAGTCAGAGGTTCTGACTTCACGGTAGAGTTGCCACATCAATTCTGAAGAACTTTACCAGACCCATGTATTTAGCTAGTTCAGAGAGAATAATCAACATTGTGCATAACAAGATAGAATGATAACACCTCTATTAGCTGGCGCCAACAGGCAGGAACAGGGAGACAAAACACTGAGAGCACAAACAGCAACCAAGGTTACAGGTGCGTGTGCTCAGTCAGGACAGTATGAACTGATAAACTGGGTCAAAGTTACATTTCCCCAACACTTCTGAAATCTAAGAGAAAGATACTCTGCATGCATTTCGACACACTATTCTCTGGAGGAGCTTTTAGTTTAGCTCCGTGCAGCCAGCTTTCTCATTAACCGTGCTGGAAACTATAACTTGTCATGTTCTGCGAGCTTCATTTCTGACCCACGCCTCCACACAGCTCCCTTCTGCTTCATTTGTTTCACACAGGTTTAATATCCCCCCCCTCTCTCGCTCTCTGCCCACCTGCATATCTGCTCTTCTAACTGGAATACTGATAAGAAAATGTACTGCAGTGAGGAATTTTACTTTAAGGGGT